GAGAGAGAGAGAGAGAGAGAGAGAGAGATTTTGTCCTGCAGGTCAATCAATCCAATAAATTTCATTTTAAAGAATTTTCTTCCCAAACTGCTTTGCAGCCCGGCTGGTTTTAGGCAGAGGGCTTTAATTACACTGGGTCCCCTAGGCCAACAAAAGGCCTTTAGCGCCCCCCCCCCATGCCTGTCACCTGGCTGCCACCAGATCTGGGAACTCACTACCTGCTTGACCCAGCTGGATCTCCTTTTCTGCGGCCTCTGCCGCCCCCTGCCGTCTTCAGCGGGAGTTGCAGGCATCGGGGAGCTCGGAGCCCGAGAGTCTACAGTAAACGCTCAGGTTAAAATCGGCGGTGCCGGACTCTCAAGGCCCGCGCGTGTGGCTGAAAGAGCTGGATCGATCTGGTCCGAGGTCCCAGCCTGTCAGAGAGAGGGCGGGCTGAGTGGGCTGAACTGCGGGACACATCCTCCGAATGCTGGTCCCTTGTTTGCCTTGATGTCAGCTCTGCCTCTGGAGAGAATTCATTTTCCTTTCATGCTCTCTGCTAGCAAGCGGCGGGACAAGCAGAGAGGGCTTCAGATGCTGGCAGATGTCTTGTTTCTGTAGACACCGTTCGTCCCTTCACTCTCCTTCACCCTTTGTTTGTATTTATCATATCCCAAAGAAACCTGGCATAAAAAGCTCTCCTCCCCACTGAATGTGACATTGGGGACGTGTGACTTCTCGGGGAATTGGGGTTGGAGGCCCTCTCTGCCTGTGGGTACAGGACGAAGAGAAAGGCCAGGAGAGGAGCTCAGGAGAGGAATCCCTGTGAGCCAGGACTGCTCCAGAGACTCCTCATCGCTGACCACCCTTTGTCTCTGAGGCCAGCAAGGTGCACAGGAGGCCCCTGGTTGGAGATGCCAGGCAACCCTGGCACTCTTAGCTCCAGAGACCCTTGTAAGAGGCACAGAGGGGTGCCTCTAATTTGTGTCACGGCCTCCTGGCACCTGCCTGGTCACTACTATGCTAACCGATGTCCAGTACACCTGGGAACAGCCCGCCCGTTTCCTCCTGCCTCAGCCTCCCAGCGTGCTGGGATCAGGGGTGTGCACCACTGGGCCTGGCTCTTCTCCCCAAAACAAACACTGCAGCTGCTAGGCTGGAGGGAGAGGCATGTCCTGAAGCTTCCAGTGGGGCTGGACTGAAATTTGGTCTCCAGGCTCAGTGACCGCCCACGCCGCAGACAGAGTTGGCAGCTTTGTCTATCGGACAAGCACGGCCTCCGAGGGACAGGCCTGCCACCTGAGGGTTGGGGACAGCCTCCCTCCCTCGAGGACGATACGAGTCTGGCCTCTGAGCCCGTGTTCCCTCTGCCCGAGCCCCTCTGTTCTCCTTGGAGCCCCTCCCACCTCCCCCAATCTTGGGTCGCTGGAGGTGACAGGAGCGGGTCCATCCGGGTGCCCAGCGCTGCTAGGTCCGCAGAGCAGCGTGCTGCACGCAGTGTGTGAGGACTGGGAGCTGCCGTGGCCCCAGCTCGAGCCTCCCCTGCAGGGCCGCCCTCTTCCCCCTCTGTCCTCTCCCATCCCTTTGCCCCATGCTGCACCTGGTCCTCAGCTCCGCCGCAGCCCAGTCCCTGCTCTCCTCCAGGCTTTCTGTGACTGCATTTCCTCAGCCAGCTTGAGAAGACGCAGCGCTGCCCCGCAGTCACAGGCTCAGTCAGGGCTGCAGAGTTATTTACGCAGGGCTGGGTCAGGGCCGGCCGAGCCCCGCCAGGCAGCCGGCGCCACATTCCGAAAGCATTAACGGAAAGGAAAAACAGACACAGAGCGGGAGGGGTCCGCAGAGCCCCCGCTTCTCTCCAGGAAGGTTTACTCCTCTCACCCATAGGAGCGTGGGGTCTCAGAGAGGCGGAGGGTTTCCCTAAGGCGCCACACGGAGTCAGCATCCCAGGGTGGTGGAGCAAGCACTGGGTCTGCCGTCCACAGACCTGGGTTCTGATCCCAGCTCTGCCAGGACCCGTGAGCCAGTGTCCCCTCTGGGCCTCGGTGTCCCCGTAGCGTCTCTAAAACCCCACGCCACTAGAGAACACACGGCCCACACCTGCGAGCCAGCGTCGGCCCCGAAGGCTCCCACCCCACTGCGTGACGGGCCCCCGGGACGACTGTCAAATGGGCTCAGTCCACCTCCTTGGTCTCTCCCCACAGTGCCACCTTCCACTCCAGACTGCAGCATCGAGGGAGAGACGGTGATCGGGAACAACATCCAGCTGACCTGCCAGTCTGCGGAGGGCTCCCCGGCCCCGGAGTACAGCTGGAAGAGCTACGACTCCGAGCGCCGCGAGCGGGCTCTGCGCTCCGCAGGTGCAGGGCTGCGGGGAGGGCAGGGCTGAGCAGGGCGCGCTGATTGGAGGGGGCCGAGGGGGGCGCGGGCCAATCACATCCCTTCTCCTCCTCCTGCGTTGGGACACGTTGGGCCCAGGCCTCTGAGCTTGGTAACACCCAAAGCACAGTAGTTGGAGAAATCAGAATGACTGCGTGAGAGGCGCCACCTTATTCTCGTTATTCCGCGTACGTCAATTCTCCTGGCTGAGTGTTCTGATGGAGTTTAATGTTGATTATGATTACGTCCTTCAGGGTACCTTGATACCCCAAGTCTAACTCGGGGGCCCACCCAGTCCGACTCCCTTTTCACACGGGTCCGTCGCACCGTTCACTGGAAGCCTCTAGACGCCTTCCCTGGGAACACAGTTGCCTGGAGACCAGCTGGGGACTGGGCAGCTTGGTATTTGATCTTTTGGTCAGGAACGACGGGGCCATAAGATTTAACTTCTAGCGGGCATTTAACTCCGGTGTGGGTTGAAAGGGAAGCAGGAGGCAAAAACGAAGTCCATGGGGAGGGGCAAAAATGCGCCTCAAATATGAGCCTCAAGGGGCGGGAGAGCATCATGCGTCCTGGGGAGCCCGTCGGAATAAACGCAGCGTGGGATTCTGTCCAGCTGGGTGAATTTTATTAGCCTGACTTTCACTTGTTTGGGGACAAAACAAAACATTGAAAGTAAATCTCTGCACTGTGGAAGGCTGAGGCAGGAGGATCACGAGTTCGGGTTCACCCTGGGCAATGTAGTGACTTAGCAAGACCCTACCTCAACATTGAAAAGTAGAAGTGGACAGGTGTTGGCGTGTCACTCAGTGCAAAGACCCTGGGCTTCACTCCCAGTGCCACAAAATAAATAAATAAAAAATTAGAGAACTAGTAGAATTTACTCAGTGCAACATAAAACAGAAGATGCAGCATGGCTTTCAGCAAGCTTTCAGTCTTGCTACCCCTTCCCTGTGTGGCCAGTTCTGATGAGTACGCCAGGAAGTTTTACAGGCTCTGCCTGCAGGTCTCCGGGCCTCTGCATGAGTGACCAGTGCCGGTGGTGCCCGGATCAGCAGGTCTGCTGTGGCCCTGGTGGCCTCTGGCCTTCCTTCTGGCACAGTGTGTGGGGACCGGGGTGGAGGAAACGGGGTGGTGACTGCTGCCGTCCTTTGTGCCCAAGGTGCCTTAGTCTCCACATCTGTAAATGGACACAACGCTAGTGCTCACAGCGTTGTCCTGAAGATGAAACAGAAGTACACGTCAACACTGACCCCAGTCCCTGGCAGACAGCAAGCACTCAATGGGTGTTAGGTGCTTTCAGATATCACGGGAGCAGGGTCCTTCGGATGCGCAGCACAGGCCCGGAGGAGGCATGGGAATTGTGACTTCACAGTGGCTGAGAGGCAAGGACGGGAGACTGTGGGCCACCACGTCCCGGCTCTGCCACCTCCATCGGGAAGGCGTCTCTGGGTGCCAGGAGACAAAGCGTGACTCCCTGTGACCCAGGAGGGAGACTCGAGCTTAAGGCGCAGGTGCTTCTCTGCTTCCCATCCCGTCTGGCCTCACTGGCCCTGCACACCTGCTCAGTCAGGACCGAGACCTGGGGGAGAGAAGAGGTGGCGGTGGTGACAGCCACGGAGCCGTAGATCCGGACACCTTTTGTCCCCGGCCTGCCTCACAGAGGCCTGGAGCTCTGTCTGTGCCTTCTTCCCCCGTGTGTCAGGCCAGGCTCCTCCCAGATGTCTTTGGAGACATTTCAGTCCATCGAGGTGACAGGAGGAGTCCCTACATCTGAGGGCAGAATTCCCATGTCAGATGGGGAAGTCTGGAACTGGGAGGCAAGGATTCGAGTCCTCATTCTGTGTCCTCGCTCGCTGCTGGAAGGAAGGCTGGAGGCCGCCAGGGTCTGCAGCAGACCTGCCAAGCTGGCACTGCAGGCTCCGGTCACTTAGGCAGAGGCCCAGGGGAGCTGCAGGCAGGAGGGACTTTGCAGCTGCAAGTCACCGCCTCGTTGACCCTTAGTAGTGTCATCTGGAAAAACAAGAAAAACCAAGACCCAAAGGCTGTGAAGAGGATGAGATGGCCTTTGGGATGCTCTGAACATATTTTGGGAACTGAGTCCCAGCCAGCTAAGTTCCCATGCACCAAAGGAATAAGAATTTGGGTATGGAGGAAGGAGGAAGGGTCATTCTGGGGCTGGAGTACTGTAGGAAAGAGGGTGTGAGGATGCACGGGGTACAGGAGGGTCCTGTGGACCCTGAGGAGAGGGTGTGAGGTGGGCCAGGGAAGTCTGGCCTTGCAGACTTCAGTTGGCATTGTGTGGGCACCAGGGCTTTGTGGAGCAGAATTTCTACCTGGCTGGAGTAGCAAAAAGGCGGGAGGCGGACAGCCATCCTGTGTGAACCTGTGTGACCACAAGGTGTCACTCCTGCAGCAGAAAAATTATCCCTAGATTGTCTGGATTTCACAAACTGCCAGTCCCTTTTGGAAAGGAAAGGGGGATTTCAAAGCCGATCCCGCGGGGTGCAATGTGCATTGGTTCCTCCTGGAGCAGCTTGTAAGCTCCATGGTTTGCTGCCCTGCATTAGGAAGCCCCACAGCGCCACCCTCAGCGGGGCCTAGAGCCATCTGCCCTGTGCAAGGAGTGCCTGACACCCAGGCTTCGACTCGAGTCTACAGTCCTGGGAAGCTGGGTAAGCTCTACACTTCCTGAGGCTGGTCGGGCCACAGAGCGTTTCCCAAAGTGCGTTCCTTCAAGATGCCGCCTAAGAAAACAGAACCCAGCCAGCCACAGTGGTGTACTTCTGGAGCTGAGGCGGTATGATCCCAAGTGGGATCTCAGCCTGGGCAAATTAACACAGTAAAAAATAAGGAAGGCTCAGGGCTGTAGCTCAGTGGGAAGGCCTTGGACTCAATTCCCAGGACTGGATTAAAAAACGGACAATAACAAAATCTAATTCGTTTAGAAAATGGGGCCATTAAATACCAGAAAGGTACCACAAATCCCACAGCTATGAGGGATTCCCAGTCCTCGTTAGTGTGTTAGAACATCTGAGGGCTAGGACCTTAGATGCGTTTAACGCTCGATCGGTGATTTCTAAACCCGATTTGGTCACGAACCCCCTTTCCAGTGTCACGTATTTGTGCTGCGGGTGAGCGATGTTCCAGGACACAGCGGCCCTGAGGAATGCTAGGCTAGAAGGGGTAGCGCTTTACAGCGAATCCAGAAAGCAGTGCCCTGGGCTTTCAAGAAATAACTGGCAGAAGTACTGTATTTGTGAAAAGAGGGAAAGAAAATAGACCCAAATCAAAGCGCCTTTGTTTGTCCGTGGTGAGATTCTGGGCGATTTTTATCTTATTCTCTCTTCTTCACGGGGGCTTTCTCCAGCCATTTGGGTGAGCTGAAATCCCTTTGCTCTGAAAGCAGACAGCTCCTCCATTTAAAACCCTAGCTCCCCCTGGGGTCACCACTGCTTTGTCTTCCAAGCCAAGGACTTATTTACATCTGTGATCAGTTCATAGATTTCTGGATTGAAGTGAACTGGAACAATAGTTGATCACACTTCAGTTCTTAGGATTTTATGATGTAACATTTTTAAAAGAAAACTTGCCAACTGTTTCAGACCTAAGACCAAGAGTTTTGTTTCAGCTCTGTCATTAGTTCTGTGGCCTTGTGCGAGTCACTTCCCCAAGCTTCCATGGGATTGAAGACGGAGATACTTGCTCCACCTGAAAAATTGCTGGAAGGCCGAGGGTATCCCCACATGTACCCCAACAAGGAGGAAGACAGTGGAGAGCCCACCTTGTCCCGGACCCTGAGGGGACGTGGCGAGACACACAGCTGGCACGATGGGCAGGCCAGACCCGTGACCCTGTCCCCACGGTAAACGCTGGTCGCTGAAGATTATGGGCAGCCTCTGAAACGTCTGAAGGAGACAGATGTTCGGAAGGTTTCCCCATGGAGTGAACCCTGGGGGCAGCAGGGGCACCGGAAGCTGGCTGCGGGCAGGGAGGAGACAAAGGTCTCTAACTCTCCTCTAGAGTAGCAGTCCAGGGCTGGGGGTTTAGCTCAGTGATGCCTCTGGCTGCCTGCCTTGCAAGTTCGATCCCCTGTACTAAAGAAAAAAAAAGAGTAGCCCAGGGGCGGCGAGGTATCTTTGAGAACAGGCCATCTCTGTCTGTTTGTGTGTTTGTCGTTTTGAGGTGAAGACATTCGCAGGGTCACAGACTTGGGGGAAGGCTTCTGTGCGGCCATCAGGCCCACTCCCAGGGCTCTGGATAAGCCACGGCCCCTTTTCCAGAGAAGGGTGCCGCTGCTGCTGCAGCTGGAGTCAGACGTCTAACTGAGTGGTGGTGGATGAAGAGGAGGACCAGGCTGACAGCTGCCTCCTTCCTACTCCTTTCCTCCCACACCCCCACTCGTACCACACACCAGATCAGACTGCACATTGTCAAATGCCGCACATACTCACACCCACACCTCATACCTCACACACACCAGACACATACCCTTACACAGTCATACACACAACCGAACACCGCTCACACACACACACCCCATATATTGTGCACTCACCACCTACCCACGTACATTCATATCCACCACACACACGCACACCAGATATACCCCACACCGACTCACACACATTCACCATACATTCCGCACACACCCACACTCACTACACCTGCCCTATGCCCACACTCGCCTCACACACACCGGGCAGCACACACACTGCACACATACTAACGTACCACCTACCACGCATCTACATTCACACCCATTGTACACAGGCACCACACGTCACACGCCTCCCCACAGCACACATGCACACCATTTAAGACAGAAATGCGGAGATCAGAGTGCTTGATTCCCCAGCCTAAGGACTTCAGGTTCTGCAGATTATAAAAGTGGTAATAATGTCTTCTAGTTATAAAGCATTTTCATGTAATACATAATGTATCTGACTTTTCCTGAGCTCTTACTGTGTGCTGGGCATTCTATGTGGCCTTGAGTTTATCATGAGCACCCCGTTTTATGCCCACAGGTCCTACTGTTCCAGTCGTAGGTGGGGAAACAGACACTCTAGGAAGTTGAGTTGCTGGCCAGCAGCTTTGGATTAATTAGTGGCCAAGCTGGGCTTCCAGCCCAGGGTGTCTTTTGAGTTCTAATTGCTTCACTTTTGCATGACCTGCCCAGAGTTGCCACTGTGGGCAGCCCTGTGGGGACAGACTGTCCCTGTGTGTCACCCCTGACTCTCTCTCTCCCCGCAGCCTCAGGCCAGAGCCTGCTTCTGAAGAACATCTCCACAGACACGTCAGGCTACTACACCTGCTTCTCCAGCAACGAGATGGGCACAAGCACCTGCGAGATCGCCCTGACCGTCAGACCTCGTGAGAGCAGAGGGGAGGGTGGGTGGGCCCAGAGCTGGCGGCTGGGTCCGGAGCTGCTGAGTTCCCCTGGGCTCGGGCAGACAGCCTGGGCCCAACCTGTGCAGATTCCCATCCCGCTGTCCCAAGGTCACTCGGGGAGTGCAGAAGTGCCGGGTGCCAGCAGCCGGTCTGCAGCCCATCCTCCTAGGCCGGACTTCTAGGGTTAGGCTAGGCATTGGCAGAGCTGATGACTGAGGTGGTTTGGAGTCCTAGAGCCTGAGGATCTGTCCTAGCCCGGGCTCTGTCCTGAGGCCATCCCAGCCTGTCTGGTTACATATTCCCACCAGACCATGGCATGTGACAGAATGGCAGCTGCTGCCCTGAAGGCCGGCGGGAGGCCGGCTCGTCCTGGCCCTGCGGTCTCCCTTGGGGCTGGGGCCAGGCAGGGCTCAGCGGAGGCTCCAGAGATGCAGCCCCTCTGTCCTCCCGCAGCCTCCATGAATGTGGCTCTGTACGCCGGCATCGCGGCTGGTGTGGTGGTGACCCTCATCATCATCGGCGTCGTGGCCTACTTCTGCTGCTGCCGGGAGAAGGACAAGAAGGGCGGGACAGCTGAGGACAAGGCGGGCGCAAGGCCGTGAGTGTCTGGGCAGGAGGCCGCTTCCAGCCTGTGGCTGGCTCCATTCAGAGGCTCACCGAGTCCAGAGGGATCCGTGGGCGCTCCCAGTGCCCGTGCTGTCCCCAGCACCCTGCACTCATGGGTGGAACACGCTGGTGGGCTCTCCTGTCCCTCCACAGCCGCACGAGAGTGGGGAAGGCGGGTGGGGTCCGGATCCTCGCATCTCGGCACCCTGCGGGGCTAACCCTTCTCCTCTGCTCCCCTTGCCCCGAAGGAACCGGGCAATTTACCACGAGCCACCAGAGCAAATGCAAGAGTTTTCCAGAGAGCAGAAGGAGGACTACGAAGAGGAAGCTGGGCAGGAAGACCAGAAGCTCCCCGGGCGCCAGTCCCCCAGCCACTTCCAGTGACGGGGCCTGCTGCAGCCCGGGGTAGGAGGGAGAGGGCTTCAGCCTCCTGCTCCCTCTCCAGCTGCTACCCAGACCCCCAGTGGCTGCAGAGCTCCCGCCCTGCTGACCATGCCGGCCCTCACTCGCTCTTCACCGCGTGCTCAGGTCTGACCCTGGGCTCAGCCTCCCCCCTCCCCCTCGCTTT